CTGTAGACCAAGCTCAAACTCACAGAGACATCCCTGCCTCTGCTTCCCTAGTTCTGGGATTAAATGTGTGTCACCATGCCTGACATACCCAGTGTTCTTAATTGCTGAGCCATTGCTGTTTCTCTCTTAAGCTGTCATGAAGAAAAAATTTTGAGCTGATAAGATAGCTCAAGTGGTAAGGGCACTAGCTGCCAATCCCATGCCTGTAGCCCCATCCCTGGACCCCATGTGGCAGAAGGAGAGAACTGACTCCCAACAGTGTTCTTTAGCATCTCCATACACATCGCTGCGTGTTTGCTCTGGCATATTTGCCCCACTAGATGTTAAAAAAAGAAAAATTCTAGTTTTTTTTTTTTAAAGTCTAAGTTTTAAAATAATTTCTTTTTCTTTCTTTTTTTAATCTTTTGGTTTTTCAGGACTGAGTTTCTTTGTGTAGCCCTGACTGTCGTGGAACTAGCTCTGCAAACCACGCTGGCCTTGAACTCACAGAGATCCGCCTGCTGTGCCTCCCAATGTTGGAATTAAAGGCATGTGATACCACTGCCCAGCTATAGTTTCTTATTTTGAAATATTTATGGATTCATAGGAAGTTGTCTTAGTTAGGGTTTCTATTGCTGCGATGAAACACCATGACTAAAAAGTAAGTTGGGGAGGAAAGGGTTTATTGTGCTTACACTTCAGCATTGCTGTTCATCACTGAAGGATGTCAGGACAGGAGCTCAAATAGGGAAGAATCCTAGAGGCAGGAGCTGATGTAGAGGCCATGGAGGGTAGCTGCTTAGTGGCTTGCTTCTTATGACTTGTTCAACCCACCTTCTTATAGATCCCAGGACCAGCAGCGTCAGGAATGACACCACTGAGCATGGGCTGGACCCTCCCACATTGGTCACTAAATGAGAAAATGCCTTACAGCTGGGTCTCAGGCATTTCCTCAACTGAGGCTCCTTCCTCTTTGATGACTTTAGCTTGTGTCAAGTTGACACACAAAACCAGTTAGTACAGAAGTTGTGAAGAAATTGATATGAAAGTCCTTGGCATCCTTTACCCCACCTTTCCTGATGTGGACATCTTTTGTAAATAGGATATTTTCAACACTGGAAAACAGTACAAACCAGTGGGCTATATAGATATCATTATTTTCTTTGTTTATTTATTTATTTTTGGTGCTGGATTTTGAATTGAGGCTTTGAGTATTTCAGCCCCTAGATGTCAGTAGTTTTACCTGTACTTATGTGTATCCGAGCGTGTGTGTGTGTGTGGTGCTGTGTGGTTTTAGTTTGAGTAGCTTCGTGTGACTTCCACCTCTGTGAGAGACTGCTCTGTTCTGTTACCATGAAACTCTGTGGCATCAGCTCTTATAACCACACCTACCGCCTCGCACCATGGCAACCGCTAATCTGCTCACCAGCTCTGTAATTTTGTGATCTCAAGGATATCACATAAATGGATTGTACAGCATGTGACCTTTGGAGGTTGGCTTTTTCACTCAGCATGGTTCTTGACACCTATGTAGTCTATTGTATTGATGGTGTTCCAAGGAAACCACAACCCTTCTGACATTGGGGGTTTGAAATTTCACTTGCTTTTCCACGAGTGATGTATGTCCATCAGGCAGAACCATATATCACTTAAATAAGCATGCCTTCCTCTTTAGCTTTGCAGTGCTGAGGATGGAACCCAGGCCTCACTCATGTTAGATGAGAGCACTGTCACTGGACCACAGCCTCAGTCAAATGGAACTTGTCTACTGCTGTTGACATACCAACAATCCAGTATGATCAGGAATACCATGATCCCCGACTAAGGTGCTTTGGCCCGATGGGGTTTTTGTTTATGTGCATAAAAGCAATACACAGTCCATGAAAATCTGGCTTTGAGTTTGGATCTTCTCCTGGACTGCTTGTGGCATCATCCTTTCATGACACTGAGCAGTGGCAGTGAGTGCAGCATCCCCTCAGTCCCTGGCCATTAGTGTAGACAAGTGTGGTTCTGCAGTGTGCTGCTGAGCTTGTGGCTCTGGGCTAGGTGTGTTCAGTGCCTTTTCTGCTGCACTATTTTTGCCTTACTGTGGTTTGCTGGGGCACAACTTCATCACAAGTTGAAGAGCATCTTTCTATGACTGTGCTGAACACAGCATGTTCTGAGAATTGATGCAGAACAGGCAGGACTACAACAGAAAGACAGAAGGTCTTTGTGATAGTAGTCATGTTGTCATGGGCAGGAAACTGCAAAAATTGCCATTTATCCCTGTGTGGGGGCTGGGTCTGGGGCTTGGAGACAATGTAGGTTAGGTGACTCCTTAGGGCTCAAGTGAAGGAAGACAAGGGTGGCCAAGTGGTATCTCTTGAATGTTCCTAAGAGAAGAATGTAGTTTGTTGTGCACAGCTATCAGGGTCTGCTTTTGTGGATGCCTCTTTGAATTTGCATTACTAAAATCTCAAATATTTATTTATTCATAGAACCTCAGTTATTAGCTATAAGTTGGACATGGAGAAATGGAGCATAGCAATTCAAATTCTGCTTAAGTTCCATGTAAACATTAAATATAAAGTTGTTACTTTATTTACCTGCATAATGGTAAAGATAAATTAAACTTGGTCTGTTGAATATTTTTATTTATTTATTTATTGATTTATTCATTGATTTATTTTTTTGGGTTTTCAAGACAGGATTTCTCTGTGTAATAGCCCTGGCTATCCTGGAACTAGTTCTTTGTAGACCAGGCTGGCCTTGAACTCACAGAGATCTGCTCATCTCTGCCTCTTGAATGCTGAGATTAAAGGCATGCATAACCACTGCCTGGCTTTTTTTTTAAAATTAATTAATTTATTATATATACAATATTCTGTCTGCATGTATCTCTCTGGGCCAGAAGAGGGCACCCTCTGGGCCAGATCTCATTACAGATGGTTGTGAGCCACCATGTGGTTGCTGGGAATTAAACTCAGGACCTCTGGAAGAGCAGCCAGTGTTCTTATCCTCTGAGCCATCTCTCCAGCCCCCTGTTTTTTTGTTTTTTTTTTTGAGACAGGGTTTTCCCTTTTTTAATTTTTGTTTTCTTTGTTTGACTTGCTCTATTTTATTTTGTTTTATTTTTATTATTTGTTTTTTTTTGAAACAGGGTTTCTCTGTGTAGCTTTGGAGCCTTTCCTGGAGCTTGCTCTGTAGACCAGGCTGGCCTCGAACTTGAACTGAACTTGAACTCACATAGATGCACCTGCCTCTGTCTCTGCTTCTTGATGCTGGGATTAAAGGTGTGCGCCACCACTGCCTGACTGACTTGCTTTATTTTTAATTGTATTTGATGTGGTTATGTGCACGTAAGTGTGCAGGTGCCTATGGGGCATCAAATACTCAAGAGCTGGATTTGAAGGTGGTTGTGAGCTACCTGATGTGGGTGCTGGAACTGAACTCAGGTCCTCTGTAAGGGCAGCAAACTCTATTAACTGCTGAGCCATCTCTCCAACCTTCGTTTTAGTTTAAACAAATTTTTACTTTTGTGATACAGGGCCTCATACTGTAGTCCAGGCTGACCTGGGACTCACTGTGTAGTCCTATTGTCTGAGCACAGTGTGAGCTATCACACTTGGCATATTTATTAATTGACTAATTCATTAATTTGGAAATAAGGTCTTCTTAGGGTAGTCCAGGCTGCCTCTGCAGTGCTGAGATTATAGTCATGTATCACCATGCCTAACTTTTTGTTGAATTTTAAAAAGAACCTTCAAAATTAAAGTCTATGCAGTTCACTTTGTCTTCTTTCCTGACTGCCCCATTGAAAGTGCTGACTTTTTGAGAAGAACGCTTGTCTTGCACATTTTCTTTTGCAATCTTCTGCATAATTCATATTCCTTAGAAACCCATTTTGTAAGCTTGTGACTGTATGAAGAGGAAGGAAGTCTCTGCTACAGGCAGGGCTCCTGTGCTACACTGTAGTTTGGTCAGGGCTTACAGGCAATGCCCACTTCATAGCACCATAGTGCCATCGTCATAGCAATTTCTCTCCCTTCTCTGAAGGGTGGTGTCACTGTTTCTTTTATGACAAGTTGGCTGTCCCATTACATATCTCATAGCATCTTCCCATGTCAGAACTTAGCAGTGATCACAGTGGCCCTCCCTGCACCCATCTTTGAATTCACGTGTAGTCCAGGTTAGCCTTTTTAGTGCTAGGATTGCAGTGTGTGGCACCATGGTTGCTATCTCTTTCCTCTTAGAGTGGTTCTCTCTGCTGCTTTGGCATCTGCTTACAGCATGGTTCTTAGAAAGGCTGTCTCTGTGGGATTAAATGGCATTTCCTTGGCTCTGTAAAAAACAAATGAGTCAGACTAGAAGGGCAGATGAGCATCTGCTATAGAAAATTTTTTTTAAAATCAGTTTGCTTTTATGTGTATGAGTTTTGTTTGCATGTCTGTCTGAGTACTGAATGCATGCCTGATGCCTGAGGTCCAAAGGTGTTGGATTCCCTGCAACTGGAGTTCTGGATGGCTGTGAATACTATGTGGGTGCTGGGAAACGTGTCCTGGGCCTTTGCAAGAAAACAAGCTCTCTTAGCCACTTAACCATCTTCCCATCCCCAAAAATGGTATTTTGAAGAGAGTTTACATAGTATGAGAAGAGCTGAAATATATAGTGTGAACTCTTGAGCAGAAGGGTTGAGCGCTGGTGGATCTCATCTGTGGCAGATTCTTGAGCATGAGGCCAACCCCTGAGCTCAAACTTAAGGATTTATAAGGTTCCAAAAACAAAAGTATTTTTGTTAATCTGTAATAAATTTGTCAAAAGTGTTGGTTGGCCTAGATAGCCAAGATCAGAGAGTTAAGACTGACAACCAGAGTTTGATCCTTAGGATCCACATGATGGAAGGAAAGAACTGACTTCCTCAAGTTGTCTCTGACTTCAACACATGTATGAAAGCATATGTGTATGTTCACACATATACAAATAAGTAAATGTAATTTAAAAAGAAATAAAAAACCAAAAAACTCTGCTGAAGCTATGCATGGTAGTGTAAACCTTTAATTCCAGAGGCAAGACTGCATTTGATGTCAGCCTGGGTTTCTCAGTGAAATGCCATCACAAAGAAAAAAACCCTCTTAAATCAGAAGACTAAACAAAACAAAACAAAACAAAAACAATGAACCAGCACTGCCATTGGGATGGACATGGTGGGTTCTTGCCGGATAGATTTCTTAGATCTGGAGGTGGAGTGGTATGGACACCTCTCTTGATGGACTTCTCTGATTGGAGGCGGGTGATCCTACAGAAAGCATAGAGAAATAATAGAGTTACATAAGGTATTTGGATATTACAAATCTGCAATTCCAAGGTAACTTTGGAGGATTGTGTGCTTGGGTGCGGCCTTGCCCAGCAAGCATTCTTTTCAGGTGGAATGGAAGTGTGTGGTGGAATGGAAGGTGGTGTAGTCCCCACCTGACTGTAGGTTAATAAAATACTGGAATGTTCCTTCCGCTCCCACCCTCCCATCTGGTCAGCAGTGAATGGCATGTGGCCTGATATGGCCTGATATGGAAGCTATGGGAGGTACAAAGTTGGATGGCTTCTTTCAACTTCTGTATGTAGATGCTAAATAAAAATCTCCCTAGTTAGACAAAAATGCAGTTGAATAGCATTCACTTAAAACCTAAATGAAAAAGCTAGGTGTTCTGCACACTTGTAATCCTAGCACTGCAGAGGCTGAGTGAAGCAGTAGGATCATGAATTCCAGATCATTCTGGCCTTCAGAGGAAGATCCTGTTTGAAAACAGTAGCAATGACAAACTCCAGGCGGGGTGGTGGTGGTAGCGCACACCTGTAATCCCAACACTTGGGAGGCAGAGGCAGGCATATCTCTGTGAGTTCAAGGCCTGGTCTACAGAGCGAGTTCCAGAACATCCAGGGCTACACAGAGAAACCCTGTCTCAAAAAACAAAAAAGAAAAAACAAACAAACCCAAACCAGAGAACAAAATCAAACGGATGGTTTTTACTAATTGTATGCTGCCTTACACTCAGATTGCAAAAATATATAATAAGGGTTTGCTTTTTATACTTTGCTGACTTCCGTGTGAAGGTCAACAAGGATGACACGTCCTGAAAACACAGTGCCACATGTGCAGTTTTATTCTGGGAGAGTTTCAGGGTGTCTAGGATTAACTGGGTGTTGCTGTGCTGAGATGAGGGCCATGGCAGTGTTTCATAATTAGTCCTGGGGTGGATGAGGCATTGTTAGGCTTGGCCAAGATGTATAAAATAGATAGCTTGTGAGTAAACAGAGGCTTCACTGGGAAATAGTGTCCTGTACCCAGAACTGCTGAAGACCTAGAGTGTGGAGCCTGAGGTTACAAAGTCAGTGTTGCCATAACCCTCCAGGGAACTGGGTGGAAAAGGGTGTTATTCCTGGCCACCCTGTGGCCCCTGCAGCCAAGAATTCCGTCACCAACCTCACCCATTTCTCTTCAGTATTGTTAGAGAAGAAGGGCTGGAAATTAGAGGTAGGAATGAGGGTAGGTTAGGTCAGAAGGGCTTCTGTGGGAGGAGCCACAGGGTACAAAGCTGGGCTGGTAGTGGGATTTTCAGAGAGGGGTGGGCAGGGATGTGTCCATATCTGCCTGTGCGCTAGTGGAAGAGGGGTCCTGCTGTGGAGGTCCCATTCTCTGTTGTCAGGTGCTGTAGTATGCAGTTCACATGGCCACCAAAGCTTTGAGCCAGTGCCTCTCTTTCTGCATTGTGTGCTCATGTGGAAAAACCTGTAGCCAGGGTTTCGTGTTAGTCTGGTTTCTCTGCCTGTGCATATCTGGAGCCTGAAACTTCAACCTATGAGAACCACGGTGGCTTGGCATTTACCCCTCTCCCATTTACCTTTCTTGGTTGGCACTGGCCTCAAGGATAGCTTAAAGGCAGAAGGCCAGGTTCTTGGAGGTTTGTCTTCTGATGAAGGTCAAGTGTGTTTTGGTGGTGGTGGTAAGGTAGGTGTGGTGAACCCTCAGGTTGCCCTGGGGCCTAGGCTGCTGGCTCCCTGGGTTCCCAGACAGCTGCCTGAGGGCAGGCTATGCCTCCTTCTGTGAGGTGGTAGAGAGGAAGTCTGTGTTCTAGTTGCAGTTTCAAAAGTACTAGATTATGGTGAACTCTTTTTAAATGATGAAAATACAAGTTGAGTATTTTGGAAAAATTCTGTGTGTTTTTTATACTTCAAAATATAGTTCTGAGACTGGGTGTGTTGGTTCATGTCCTTGCACTTGGGAGGGGAGCAGAGATAGGTGAATCTCTGTGAGTCTGAGTTCAGTCTGGTTTACACAGTCCAGGACAGCCAGAGCTAATAGAGACCTATCTCAAACAACAACAACAAAAACAAACAAACAAACAAAAAAAACAAACCAAAAAACAAGCAAGCAAGCAGCCCAGCTTTGTATCCTGTGGCTCCTACAGAAGCCTTTCTGACCAAAGCCCAGCCTGTGCATGCCTGGAATTCCAGTGTTTGGAAAGCAGAGGCAGGCAGGAGGATCAGGCTACCTTTGGCTTCATAGCAAGTTTGAGGCTAGCCTTGAATGACTTGAGAACCTTTCTGAAAAAACACCAAACCAAACCATAACCAAAACACCAAACCACCCACAAACAACAACAAAACCCAGATCATTATCTTTTTTAATTTTTGGTGGTTGTGGTTGTTGCTGGCCACATTCCCAACAGATCAGAGCCTTGCTTTTAACCCCATTGTGCCTATAGAAATTAGAAAATCTTTGACCAGTTCTAAGCTTATTGGTATTGTGGGCTTTTGTGAGTCTATTTACAAGAAATTTAAAGTATGTTCTCTTTTCTCTCTCTCTCTCTCTCTCTCTCACACACACACACACACACACACACACACACACTGTGGTGATGGCTACTTCGCTTTGGCTGGCCTCCATTTCCTGGGTTCAGTTATTTTCCTGCCTCAGCTTCAGGAGTAGCTGGGAAGACTGATGTGCAGCCCTGTTGGCTGCATTCAGTCAATTCTCCCTGTTAAACCTTTGTTGCTGTATTGAGCTGAACTGTCCCTTCATAGAGTAGCAAATCACTCTCCTAGGAAGTAAGAGTAAGGCAGATACTCCCTGGCATGTCCTTCTACTGCTGAGATTGGCTCAGCTGGCATTCTTTGTTTGTTTGTTTGCTTTGTTTTTAGATCAGGTCTCACTAGGTAGCTCTGGATGTTTTGGAACTCACTTCTTAGACCAGGCTGGCCTGGGATTCTCTGGAATTAAAGGCGTATACCACCATCCCTGCCTTTTGAAGCTGACATTCTTGTCATTGTTTTCCTTTTGGTGGGAGGGTGTGGATCCAGTTCTGTGAAGTGCTATATCCTTGATATCCTCTGATGTGACCTTTGCTGCAGACCTAATTTAAATGTGCTTCTTTGTCTTTTTTTAAACAAGTAACCTAGAAAACAAGCAGAATGTGAAGGTGCACCGTTACAATCGACACACTTTGGAGGTGTAGGCAGGAGGATAGTGGGTTTGAGGTGAGACTAGAGAGAAAAAAGAAAAACCACAGATCTCTGTGTTATGTTCTTGTTCCTTTGCTATACTTTTATTCTTCTTTTCTTTTAGCCTTGCTAGCTGGGGCTGTGGGATCCCTAGGCACATGCTCTCTGTACTATATATAGTAAATTGCAGGTGATTTTTCTTTCTAACCAAGGTCTCACCACATAGCTACATTGGCCTTGATCTTTGATACCCCCCCCCCCCCAGCCTTTCTAGTGCTGGGATTCCAGGCGCTAACACACTTGTGTGGCTATGGGTTTTTGTTTGTTTGTTTGGTTTGGTTTTAGACAAGGTCTCACTAGGTAGACCAGGTTGGTCTTGAACTCAGAGATCACCTGCTTCTGTCTCCTGAGTACTGGGATAAGGATTTTTGCTATGATTTTGATACAGCACCATTCTTGAAGTGTATTCTGAGGATGTATATTTCAAATTTCCTTTATTTTTATTTCTAGGTTGTGTGTATGCATGGGCACTGGAACACTTTTTTTTTTTTAAATTAACTGGTCAGGGATGTTGACACACACTTATAATACCAACACTAAATAAATACATAAGATTATTATTATTATTATTATTATTATTATTTTGGATTTTGAGAGAGTTTTTTTTTTACATAGCTCTGGATGTTCTGAATTATGCTGTATAGATCAGACTGGCCTCAAACTCACAGAGATGTGCTTGTCTCTGCCTCCTGAGGGCTAGGATTAAAGGCCTGTGCCACCACACCCATCTGAAATTAATATTTTAACACAGGTTGCACTATGTAGCCCCTACTGGCCTGGAATTCTGTGTAGACTAGGTTAGACTTACACAGAGGTAGCTTGTTTTACCTTCTTAGTACTTTGATTAAAGGCTTGAGCCCTGTACCCGGCCTAGATCTGCTGTGATGCTGTTCTACCTGTCACTTTCCATCCTGAGTGGATCATCAGGAAGGAGGCCCTTGTCAACTGCCTGATCTCTTGGCTTGAGTGCCCCAGCTTTTAAAATTGTTTGAAATAGGTACTGAAGAGATTTATCGGTGGTATAAACATTTTCTGCTCTTGCAGAGGACCAGAGTTCAGTTCCTAGAACTCACAGTTAGTGTACCACCATTGCCTGGCTGATGGTAGTTAATGTTTCTTATCCTTGGGATTTGAGTTATTTTAGGCCAGTGAGTTTATAGTTTCGAAATTTGAAAGACAGATGAGATATTCTACTTAAACAGAGAAAAAGTTGATTTGTGTGTCACAGCTTTGGAGTTTTTAGTTCTTGAGTGATTGGTCCTATTGTTCGTGGGCCTGTGGCAGGACTTCTTGGAAGGAACACATGGAGCAAAGTCACTTAACTAAGCATCAGGAAATGAAGGGTAGAAGAGGATGGGGCCACAGCCCCTTAGGAGAGCAAAGCCCCCATGACTCAAAAGACCTGCCCTGTGTCCTACTTCTTATAAGTTGCTTCCACCCATGGCCAGTGCTGGGAGGTCATGTTCTTCCTCAAGCTGGGGAACAAGCCTTTAACACGTTGACTTTTGGGGAACATCCCAGATTCCGGAAATGGTAGCTGTAGTTCTCATCAATTTTGAAACCCATCTGCACTCTGATCCACACTTTAGTTGCTTGTCAGACCCCATGAAGTTCCTCAGCCCTCACCAGTAGTCTTTCTTTCTATTTGCTCCGCTTCCTTAAATCCCTGGGACTGCCCTCCCAGCTGCTGACCTGCAGTGTTAGGTCTGGTCGAGATGCTGGACACCACGTGCCTCACTCATCTCTCCTGAATGCCCTGTGCTGCCCCACCGGCTCTACCCGTCTGCCATTCACAACCTCTGCCTGTTAGTTGGCTTCTTGTTCCTTTTATGTTGTTGTTGTTGCTGCTGCTGCTGCTGCTGCT